TTTCTGCCGCATTACATAGTCTGAACATGTCTTGAAAGTACATCTCAAAAAAGATCATAAAGAACTGTTTTAAATATGCCAACCTTTTAATAAATGTTGAAACAGAGGAAGTTAAACCACTGAGTGGAGCGGGTTTTTGGATCTGTCAAGGAAGACCTGTATTTAAACAGCATTTATTAGCTAAATTTGTATAATTACTTATTTTAGTCTCTTCTTTACTTAGGTACTTTTCCATTTTGCCGGTGCAGGCGATAAAGTCATCAATAATGGTACAACTAATGCCAAACGGAATATTCTCGCTGGTAACCTTTTACACCTTATTTTAAAAACAAGTAGCAGCCATTTCTTAGCAGATTAATTGTTTCTTTCAATACTGGCATACAATTACATAGAATTTTTACCAGATAATTCAATTTTATGAATTATGGACATTTGCAGTAATTAAATCAATTAGGATGCAATCACACCACTCACCCGAAGGCAAAAATCTAGAAAAGGCAAAGTTAAGGGTCATCAATTCGAATGCACTAGCGAAGTACAGCACTGCGGTTTTACATAATTTCTCAGTAAGCTATTCTTATGAATTGAAATAATTCTTGCATTTAAACTTGTATTCCGAATTAAGATTTAACTTGAAATTAATATAGATAATTACTGAGAAAATTAAGATTTTTGTAGCGTAGTTTAACCGTCTGAGCGTTACGGGTTTAGCCCTGAAATTTCAAAGTTCCTCAAAATGTCACGAATAAGTGATATTTTCTTGATTTTAATTAAAAAATGACTTTCATTTTGTACCATGATTCCTTTTCTTCCAATATACATTAAAAGCTAGCAGAAATTATTATGTATAATGAATGTGGAAGGCAACCTTCTGTACAGAATTTTCCGGTCGTAACGCTGAGAGGGTTAAGTGAGATGAGATCACTTGGGATCACGTGATAGGAACCGGTGAATCAGGATGTTGAACCGTGAATGCATATTAAATTCTTAAATTAATGTCTTTTTACAAATTTATTGCCTTTATTTATTGGCTTTTTACAAAATTGCAAACAATATTAAAATGTTTATGCCTTCAAAATAAAAAATTCTTAGAACTAACATTTGTTAACATTTTTTATATGTATACTGTATGTTATCGCCAATCTACAAGTCTACTTGGCGAGATTTGCGTCGGCGAAACGAAAAAGTACCTTTACTTATTTTCATAAACTCACATTCATTATGATGACATTTACATTACTAAAGAAAGTATGAAAACAAAATATCTTAAATCATAAGCTAATATGTATCAAGTGACAAAAAGTCTTATGGCCGGATAAAGCTGGTCATACCACTTAGAGAGTTACAGAAGAAAAGAAAAGGAAGGTCTTCATAACTAATAAGAATATTGAAGAATTTAATGCTTGAGTGAATACTGATGAAAACTTTTAAGTTGCAGCATTGATAACAAATGATGATATTTACAAGTTGCTTTCTGAGGTAAATCCAAGCATAGTATGCAATATACTTTATGAAGAATGATGAAATGAGTGTATTTCCTATAAATACTGAGCTGATGGACACCTTTTGACTTTATGATTAAGATACACTACCGGCCAAGCAACTTCCAGAAACATTATAAGGTACCTACAGAAAATCCCATTGACCATTTTTGCCTGTTAATGAAAAGACGGCAAACTACGTGAGAGATACATGTGAGAGACATTTTACAATACTATTAGCATGTTCGATGAATAAATTCTGAACACCATGACAATGTTTGTTTCAGATGATGGTGCAAGTTAAACATTCTGCAATGATGAATCCTTTAGTCTCAGTATGAGATACGTACTGTGAGTCATAACATGATGCATATTACAGAAAGTTGTGGAGAACTGTGAATACATGGAGCAATGGAAGGTGATGCACATGGTCAAAAGTGGATTACATGGCTTCTCTGGAAAGAACAGTCAGCAGAACAAATTTATGAGCATTAAGTGGCTGTTTGTGGTGAGTAAGCTCATGCGTGAAGCTCTGCATTTAGTTAGAATAGGAAATTCAGGGAGAAAAATGAAACTGTAATGAAATATGAAGCAATGGTAGACCCCCTAGTGAGATAAGTGTGAGCCACTGTGTAGCAAGAGGCCAACTTGATACTGTCAATTCAATGAACTACAATGTGAAACTATTGGCAGAGGAACTCCACATATGATAGTGAACGAAGATTCAAAAATGCATAAAAGTTCAACAAAAACATTTTCAGAAAATAAGAATGCTGCAGCCAGCGGTGTAGTTATCACATAGTATTCACATATGCACTCTGAAAATTAAAGTATACTCTTTACTTTATTCATCTTAGTTCAAATCATTATTGAACAACCCTAGTATTTATTATATTATAAGTATAATAAGGATCATTTGATAAGCACTGTACAAAAGTAAACATTATTTTCAGTAACTGTAAACATTTTCAGGATAAAACTAATTTTATTTTTTAACATAGTTTCCACTGAAGGCCATTTGATTCAGTGAGTTTGCAATTTTTTCATCCCACTGGAAAAGTAATTTTTGCTAATGGCTATAAAATACACTTTAACAGCAGCAATGTCATAGTTATTTGATGAAGATATTTTCTAACTAAGCCAAATTTTCATGTTTCAAGAAGTCTGCAAAATAAGAGAGATGGAGAAACAGTTCAAAGTGTTAAGTCCTACAGTTTTGTGAATGATACAACAGCCCTTTTCAGCTCTATCAGCCATGATAACTTTACCCAGACATCCAAAGCATGCTTCATATTCAGTATACATTCAACCATGTTTAAACTCATTGATCAAGTCTTCCAATGTTGTTGAAGAATCTCCACTGAATAATTCATAAAACACTGCTTTGATATGAGCAGCTGTTAATGTCTTAAAAAAATCCCAGCAATAAACTTATCTTCTTCACTTATAACCTCCTGCCAACCTACATACACAGGTAAGAGGGGTAATGTTTACTCTCCTAAAATTCAATCGTGAATTTTTAGTGAATAAGCATGAATTAGGGTTCCCATAGCCCATTTTGATTATTTTTAAAATGATGTCTGTCTGTGTGTATGAGTGTGATAATTTTTTCATCCATGTTAAGCTTTCTATATTGATATAAAGAAATATTAATTAGATTTCAGATAAAACTAGACAACCACAAGTCTTATTTTACATGAAGTCCATAACAGTTCTTAAGTTATTAATGGAAAATGATATTTTACTTGAAGCCTATAATAGTTTTACTTGAATAATAGTTTTTAATGAAAACTTACATTTAAATATAATACAAAACTACCCAATTTAAGTATTTGAGACTTTTATATCTATCGAAACAACATATTAGATTTTGCCTTAAACTGACAAAGTTTTTTCGAGAAAAATTATGAGATAATCCAGAACTTCTCATATTTGGCATTTAAAATAGGTATGTGATTGAGAACAACATATTAGCTTTATAAACATTAAATGTATTCTTGGAATTTTGCTAAATGCAACAAGAATTAGCTCATTATGATGAAGAGCTTTCGTTATGACACTATTAAAAGAATTAGTCTCAACCTCAATTTTGGGTCCATTCCACTCAATCATTCACTTACATGTCAAATCCTTGTTCTACTCACTTGTGTAGAATCATTTTTCAAATAAAAGGATGCTGTCACCAAATATTATTGCTACATATTTTTTTTTTTAAAGAAATAACAGAGCAAATACATTGATATCATGAACTTGCAAGATGTATTTACATTTTATAAGTTATTTTAATATTGTAACCCTTTCGATTCTTGTTTTCCACTTAAAACTCCCTACCAGAATAAATTTTTAGAATCACATCGAATGCAAATGAATTAGAAGTAGTATTTAAAGAAAGTTCTACTTACTTTGATAGAGAGAGTACTTAGTCCTTAGTGGCGTGTGTTTGCCTTCTAGCTATTTCATTCTTGAAGCTATTATGCTCGGCTGTATTGTACGTGCTTGTTGATAATTGCCGGCAAGTTTAAATTAAGGGCCAACTATGTTAGATATTTGTGTCTAGCTTTGAATGAGTCTATTTTAGTTAGTATTAGTTTAGTTTATTAGTTTCTTATCCTGATTCAAAAGCCTGAGTGGAGGCTTTCCTGCAAGCCCAAAACTTGCCAACTGTTATCATTTATTTGAGTAAATAAAAGGGTATTTTAATAGTCTCGAGTCTACATTGTCTACTTGAACTCAGTGAAAAGTCAATATTTAGTTCACTAGGTTTCTTAACATGTCATCATAGGCAAAGTAGTTAGTAACATTATAAACTTAAAAAAAGACTCGAAATAAATATAAGGCAACACTTTACACTCTATCAGGAATTGTAAAGATGTACTGCTTTTAAAAAGTTTTTGTGACTGTTAAGTCATTGATTTGAGAATCCAAAATACTGTGTGAGGATACTATGATCAATGTAATATTTACAAATGAAAGCTTGAGAACGGATATATACATAGTTATCACTCTCCATTTCATAAGAGAATAGAATAATAAGAAATTAGTAGTGTTTAGAATTAACACTGAAACATAAAGTTAGTTAACATATTGAATTTTATTTAACACTTCAGTAATCACCACTTGCTGTAACACTTCAGTAATCACCAGTAAGAATTTGTCTATAAAACTGCCTACATGTTGACAAATTTCTTGTATGTTTTGAATCATTTACATAAAATTTTTGTGACATTTTGATCTATGATATCAACAGCTGAAATATTGCAATGTTTAGAAAACTACATTATTTATAAGAAAAATGCTTTGCCATATCATGCACATAGATTTTATCAACTATATAAATAATTTCTAATCTGCACAGGAGTTTAATCACAAGATACACACATAGCATGCAATTAAAGCTTCAATTAATTATTTTTTTTAACTTAAATGCAAACAAATTGATCTCAGACCTTTCCTGTAAAGACATTTTCAATGGCAAATCATATATTCTTATATAACTTAAGATTAACAAAAATAGCATACCTTCCAACAGATCTTCCACAGCTGTACGCACACCTTTATCAAAGGCTCTTGCATCAGCAGCAGTTTGGAAGGTAAGACCAAACTTCTTATCTCCAGTTTTCCAGTGATGAAAAGTAGGCATCACTTTATTATATTGGAAGTCTCTTTTTATAGTGCAACTTAAAACCACCTAGGGTGAAAAAAAAGTAATACACATTATTAAGTTTAAATAAATTTCCCAGGGAAATCTGAATTTTATTAAATAATATTTATTACTCTAAAGGACTGGGTCTGAAACAGTTTGCACACTGAATAAGTCAACCTTTTTAATTTTTTTGGTTGTGTTTTATATTGCCTGATTTGTTATTAGTTGAAGACAATACCACAAGATCTAAACAGTCATTAGTTTTTTAGGACCTTGCATTCGAGAGGCCTTCCTTGATGGACAAAGTGCAGATTGCTAAAATCTCTTGACAATATCATGAAGTTATAACACTTGTAATGTCAGGTGGAGGCATTACTAAAGAAATTATTGCTCTTGCAATGTCTAGAGTATGTTGCCTCACACCTTATAACAGCCTGAAGACTGCAGAGAGTCTGCACACATGAATTTCTTATCACTATGTGGTCTTTCGCATACTCTCCTTTCAGTATCATTGTGATGATATGCAAAAATCAGGGAACTGCATGTCTGCCAAAGGGAGTTTGACGAATATTTTGTTGGGTGTGACTTGCAAATGTAGGTTTAAAAGTATCAGAACAGCAAGCATCCATGTCCGATTAGACACGAATACTGGTTTCACACGGTCAGTTGAGACTGATACTATTTTTCTCTGAACGGGTAATCTGAAAACTTTTGTACCATGTTTGGGCATTTTTAAAGGGCGATCGTAAGGTAGTTATAGTGATCGCTGCACAAACACACTTTCAAATCTTTGTGAATAAACCCTGCTCATGTAAGCACTATAAGTGTTGCCAATAAAAGACAAGCAATTTACCACTTATGGAAGAGAAAACTATTCTTGGTGTGGACAATATTCTTATTTTAATTATTAATTCTTATTTTATCTTCTGATTCATTTGTCTCATTACTATTTTTAACTGCTGTTTTAAAACAATATATTGTTTTCAAATTGTGTAGTATTACTCTTGTCATTGGATATCTGAAATTTTCTATTTGCCACAGAACTGAAAAATGATGGCATTAAGATCTGCTACACAACTGGATGCAGCTTCGCTAACTAACTGTGATCTATGTGCATGGATTCTGCAGTCTTACCTCCATCTGTCTCATCTGATTTTAATCTCTTTGGTGCCATTCCTGATGATTCTACAGTACTTTTATATTTTCAGTTCCTATGACATGCCAATACTGATGGAAGTCCCATAGGAATTAATGCATGAAAGCTTGGTGACGAAAAATTCCAGCATCAACAATTAGCTCAAGTTCTAAAGCCAAGAAATTACGTATGCATAAAAAGAGTTAAGCAACTATAGTTTTGTCTTATGATCTTCTATGATAACACTCTGGAACTACACTAATTTTGGAATGTCAAGACATACAGTGGACAATCTTTCTCATTTTCCCCTCCTCTAATATTTGCCAAATATGTCCATTAAGATTTAAGTCAGAAGACTTAAAAAAGGTTTTTTTAATAATCACAATTTTAATTATCAGAAAGTATACAGCAGCCCAGATCCTGCTCTACTGATGCTGTAATATATGCATTTTCAAAGGATGGCATGCTTTTAATGGCAGCAAAACTGATTTTATTTATATGCAATTCAAACATGCACTAAACCCTGTTATTAACACTAAATAACTTCAGTATTGAACACTACTTATCTAAGTGACCAACTCCTTAGAAAACCAAAATCATCTAGAATCATTTTACAGAGACTACATTACAATAAAATATAATATGAAAAATAAATCATTTGTAATTTATTTTTTCCTAACTGAAAATATATTTCATGTTTTTTGCTGGTCAAATTTCTGTATAATACAACTTGTTTTCTTTATTTTTAAAAACTATAATTAGTTAAACTAATACATTAGGTTTAATGCTGAAACATCATATTTCTGAACAACTGAAATTCTAATGAATTATGAATTATTATGTGTATCTCTTTATACTGCATAATACCCGTACACTGAAATCTAAGGCTATGAATGCAACTGAAATGCTGGCTTACTTGAAAATACAAGTAACATTGATTGTAACATTATAATACTTTAAGAATGTAATTACCATTATTGGCAAGAAACTGCAAGCATAGCTTATGAAAATTATTATATTAAAGTTTATTAAAACTTAACTATTGTTCTATAGTGGCTAGAAAGGTGATAATTAGAAGCTCTCAAACATGATTTCAATTGAACAGGAAATGTTTAAAATATTAGATTTACCTAGCTTACTTGTGATTAAACAAATGCTAGGGGAAGAGGAGACCTTGTGGAGACTATCGAGCGTTAAACAACGTCACAATTCCTGATAGATACCCTCTCCCATTTTTAACAGATTGCAGTTCCATTTTAGCTGGAAAAAGAGTTTTCTCATCCATAGACCTCATTAGAGCGTACCAACAAATTCCAGTTCGCGAAGAAGATATACCGAAAATGGCCATTCTCACTCCCTTTGGCTTATTCGAGTTCCCATTCATGACGTTCGGCCTACGAAATGCGGCCCAAACGTTCCAACGTTTCATGAACAGCGTGTGTTGAATGGACTAGAATTCGTGTTTTGCTATTTGGATGACATTCTAATAGCCTCTCCAGATGAAGAAACTCATCGAAAACATATACGAGCAGTCCTCGAGAGACTAAACGAATATGGCCTGTGTATTAATGCGGCAAAGTGTAAATTTGGTCAAGGCAAAACTTGCATTCCTGGGATACGAAGTGTCAGCTGAAGGACTTAAACCTCTTTCAACGAAAGTTGATGCCATCAAAAATTTCCCAGAAATTTCCCAAAGTCATTTACTAGTTTAAGACGATTTTTAGGTATGGTGAATTTTTATCACAGATTCATACCAAATTGTGCGAAACTGCAAATTGCTCAGTGGTATTAAACCTCAGTGGTAACAACCTTTAACAACATTGCTCAGTGGTATTAAAAAGAACTGCAGAAAAGAAATAACCTGGACGGCAGAAACAAGAAACGCCTTCCAGATCTTAAAAGATGCACTTATTCTCATGCCACAAACTTAACTCACCCATCCGAAAAGGCTGAAATATCGCTAACAATTTATGCTTCCAATACTGCCATTGGAGCCGTTTTACATCAGATTGTGAATAATGCAAAACAACCCTTGAGTTTCTCTTCCCGAAATTTCACATCAGCACAACAAAACAATAGTGCCTACGACAGAGAACTCTTAGCCATCTATACAGCAGTAAAACATTTCAAATACATCTTAGAAGAACGAACGTTTGCAATATACATGGATCACAAACCACTAATATTTGCCTTCCAACAAAATTTGGAAAAAGCTTCGCCATGACAAGCTCGACAACTGTCATATATTGGCCAGTTCTCAACCGATATCCGATTCATACAAGGGCATGAAAAACCGTCGCTGACACCTAATCGCAGGAAATTATCTCTGCAGGAATTATCTCTCTCTCTCGCATAGACACCATTTCTGTACCATCTGCAATAGACTTACAAACTATAGTAGACTGTCAAGAAGATGAACGACTTGGAGACACTAACTGAAAGAACAACCAAACTTGAAAAATCCTGCAGATCCCTATACCGGACAGCGACAAGAAAATTTACTGTGATACTACTACAAATTATAATCGACCATACATCCCTGCAAAGTTTCGGCAGAAAATATTTTCTTCAATCCATAATTTATCTCATCCTGGAATAAGATCCACGATAAAATTGATAACACGACATTTCATATGGCCCAATATGAATAAAGACTGCCAACTATGGACTAGAGCATGTTTATCTTGCCAAAGATCTAAAGTTCACAGACATACACAGTCATCTTTGGGAGAATTCAAAGTACCTCCACACAGATTCCAGCATTTAAACATAGATCTGGTGGGTCCGCTACCTCCTTGCAAAAGATTCAAATACCTTCTAACCATCATCGATCGTTATACACGATGATGAATCGAAGCGGTACCGTTAGAAGATCAATCAACAGAATCTATTGCTAAAGCTTTGATTTATACTTGGTTTTCACGCTTTGGAATTCCGAATCGCATAACATCTGACCAAGGTCGGCAAATTGATAGCCAACTTTTTCAAGCTTTAGGAAAATATCTTGGTTTTCATACAAACACTACAACTGCGTACCATCCACAGGCAAATGGCCTGATCGAAAGACAACACCGAACTTTAAAAGCAAGTCTCAAATGTCATCTACTCGAATCAAAATCATGGCTGGAAGCATTGCCTTTTGTTCTTTTAGGCATAAGATCTGCCATCAAGGAAGACTTAGGTTGCTCATCCGCAGAACTTGTATACGGAACCTCTTTAGCATTACCTGGTGAATTCTTTTCAACAGTACCTCATATGAAAAACAGTCTGAATTTTCTCAAAACCTTCAGAAAATAATAAGAGCTATGAAGCCAAGTTCTACCACCACCCATGGAAATAGAACAGTCTTTGTTTCTAAACATCTTTCCAACTGTTCTCACGTATTCCTATACAACAACATTAATAATTCGTCACTACAGCCTGTCTATCTTGGACCGTATCCTGTAAGAGCAAGAAAGGATAAGTACTTCGACATTGAAATCCAAGGAAAAGTTAAAAGAGTTTCAATAGACAGACTAAAGCCATGTTCCTAGTGCAAGATTCTGATATTCCTTTCCAAAACTCCCATTCCAAGAAAGCGGAACTTGGGGAAACACCTGCACTCAAGAACACTGAAGAAAATTCAGAAACTCATCATAGAACCAAGACTACTAGAACCGGCAGACATGTGAGGTTTCCCAGTCACTTTAAAGACTATCTTCCATAATCGCTGTCACTAGGAAGGGGATGTGTAGTGTCGCTTCAGTTCCGTCAAGTTTCTAAATAAATTTAGTTAAAGCGGAATGGCAACACCTTCTAGTCTCCGCGAAGAACGAAGTAAACAAACTTCGGTTTTCTGCCACGTGATTCTACGTGCATGTAAAATGTAAATAAATCTTATAAATAAGAATCTATAACTTCGTAAGGAATAAAATATTGGTTCCATTGGAGTCAGAGAAGTGTTATTTTCCTGCATTTGCACACCAGACACTTCATTCATGTTTACTTGATAACTTTATGGAGTAGTTAGGGTGCTACTGAGAATTGTACTGCATGCCGAATCTAGCATACATGCCACAGGTTACTAACACCTGCTATGGCATTTAAAGTTTTATTTTCTTATAAATTTTTAAAAGAAGAAATTATTTTAAAATTTTTTTTTGTTTTGTTTTACTGCTAATACATGGAGTTTTCCTACCTACAAGGCTATTTTTTGACTGTAGTAGTCTCTTAATCGACAAATATTTACGTACGAGGCATGCAAATACGAAAATATAATATATGAATAAGCAGTAAATAATATGTAACACAAGCAATACCAGTTACTATATGAGGTCTGATATTATGACAAAATCCCAACATAAAGACATCAGAAATTGAAAAGCACTGTAATATCCCAGAATCTTATTAGGTAAAGGCATGACCATCTTTTGTCCCATTCACCTCTTTCACTATTTACTAGATAATCATTCCCCCACCTTCCTTTTCCAAACTAAAAAAATACATATACATTTATTTAAATTGTTTTTAAGGTGTTTTATAAATTAAACAAGAAAATGTATACAGAATGTTGATAAATACAAAAACTTGAAAAAAGTAGTTTTTTACATTCTTAAACTAAGACTAAATAGGTAAATAAAAGACATCAAATCCCCTTCCCCTTGAAACTATGGAATTCTCCCCAAGGGAGTAAGTACTCTCTCGCTGACAATCCCTGATGTAGACAACTGGATCAAAATCCCACATTGATTCACATACTGCACAAAAATGATACAAATATATGTAAACCAGTATGGTGGTAAGTGCCTGTCCAGGGGCCATAGAAGGTATGGATGTTTGTAAGCATATTGTGTCTGTTTGGCAAAGCGCATTCAAAACAGACAGCAAGCCAAAAATCCTCTCAAAAGGATGGTGGTAGGGAAGTAAGGGTGGAAGACCCTTGGACTCTTATTTTATTTTAAAATTCTTATGCCTTTCTTTCATATCTATAATTTTATTTATTTCATATCTATAATCTATTTCTAAAGCAATACTAGCTTATATTTTACTTTTAGAAAATTTGTTTCAGATTTAGAATTTTGAAAGGAAAATGTCATATATACGAATCTTTTAAAAACGGGAATCTGACATCAGTAATATAAAAGTGCAATAAGTCAAAATAATAATTTTGCCTTACAGCCATCAAAAACAGTGGCAATAGCAAAGTCAACACTGGAAAGGGAAACTGAAGTTACTGTTTATGAAAATTCATTAACACAATTAATTTATAATTCCCCCCTCCTCAGTTACTCTGCTCTAGACATTATGAATAAAAATCTTGAATACAAAGAAATCATTACCGTCTGATCTGATATCCGTTTCCCACAAATGAGATATTCTGGTTTTGTGTCATCTTCAGAGATGATCCGCTTTCTGACAGACACATTGCTTAATCCACCTCCGCCCATGGGCACCCAACCTCCAGTTGAATCATCTCTGGTCATGACCTGGGCTCGGACACGAACCAGAAAATTCCCACTGCAAAAAGAAATACAGTTAGATGAAATTTTGTAGTAATTAAAAAAAAAAAAAAAAAAAAAAAAAAAATTATATTTAAGACACAATAACACGCCGAATAAATACTAATTCAGAAGTCAAACAACAAAAATCAGCGTTAATTTACAAAATTTTCACAGGACTAGTTTCGATGGTTTTACCGAACCATCATCTTCAGCTGCAAAACCGCAAATGAACAAGATAGGAAATAAGCTGTTTTGCAGCTGAAGATGATGGTTCGGTAAAACCATCGAAACTAGTCCTGTGAAAATTTTGTAAATTAACGCTGATTTTTGTTGTTTGACTTCTGAATTAGAATTATATTTGCTGATTTTAAATACAATATGACACTGAGAAGTGAAATTAGGTACTTTTATGTTAACAACAGTTAAAAAATTTTGTCATCAACATCACCAAAAGTTATAAAATTGACAACAAGTCAGTTTCAGAAAAAAAATTGAAGGTTCCCAGTATTTATACAGGTTTCCTTATATACAGATTTAAAGATTTTGATTAATAATTTAACAGGCATACTCATGATACTTAAAAGTTTTCTCTGCCTAGGTGTATGTATGTGTGACCACGTACATAATTCAGACAAAAAAAAGAGAAAGGAAATACAGTCAAAAGTCGTTAATCCGGACTCGTTGGGACTTCGGCGATTCCAGATTATAGATCATCAGTTTAAATCTGGTAAGATGGCATGCAGAGATTATAAAATTAAAAATACGAAACCGTAATTTAAGAAATAAAGAACAATTATGATCTAAAGGGTATTAAAATTTACAAAAAAAAAAAAGCTTAATATTTATTTGTTTACTTTATTAAACATTTCTTTCAATATAAATTGTTTAAGTTGCTTCATTTTATGTGATAATACTTTCTCTTTAATTCCATAAACAAACATAATTTCTTGTTCAGTTACAAAGTTCCACTGTTCAAGTCCTATAATTGCTGTGTCAAGAATACCGACTAATTTGTTAATCGAAATTTTTTCGTTTTCAACAACCTCTGTGTCACTTTCTTCACTATCGAAAGCGAATTATAATGACGTGGAATTTGATTTAAATCATATTAAAGACGGAGTACATTGAGATGAAATACTACATTTAGTAAAGAATTATAAGCCAAATAAAATAAAAACATCTGCCCTGAAGATAGTGCTGAGCGATCAACTTCCAATTCATTGCACGCCACGGCGCCCCCCCTCTCGCCACTGCCGCCGCAGAGCAGCCTGAAATTGATAAACAGATTTCGGAATGGTTAGAGAAACAAAGGATATGCTTTTATCCATTTTTTGCAGCAATTCCCCTTTTTGTTTAATGGATTTCGAAACATACTTTCGCTTTGTAAATCCTTTACATATTAGTAAATATATATCGGGAATTCTATTTGACATAATCGAAAGTTCAAGCTTACTTTTATAAAATTGCTCTAACAGTCTGCAAAAAATAATAAGCTGGATCCAATTCGAAGATTAAGGAACAACGCAATCTGCAACATTAACTGAATTATTGTAATTTCCGGAAGAAAGGCCGCATCAGCGTAAAAGCCGCACTCGAGAAAAATGGCGGGAAAAAAATTAAAACTACACAGAAACGCCACAATAGAATTAATTGCGCGTGACATCGTCGTGGGCCGTATTAGATGCAAAATCTCAACCTATGTCTTGATATATGACATATAAGTTAAAAAAATGCATGAAATGAAATCATAACTCAAAAATAAATTAAAGGTAAGAAATGTTGAAAATATATTTTGTGTTCACGACCCACTAAAAGTCCATATTTGTAATACTCAGACTACATTATAAAAAATGTTGCAACAACGAACTATTAAATTTGGATTACAAAAGGAAATTTTCAATTTTACTTACAAAAGGAATTGCAGCAAACTATACATCATATGAAGCCATCAAAATCTGATTCTTCACTTTCTGAATTAAAAAGATTTTTGTCAAACCACCAGGAATTATTGCTATGGTCGTAGACAATTTTTGACATCTGGTTTTCACTGACTCAAGTAAATGCGCACGCATGGAATCCATTATCAATAACCCTTTTGGTTGGAAAAAAGATCCCTTACGATACTGCCAAACTTTTTGTAGCCACTCATGCGTGATTGTTTCACACATCCAGCCGTTCTCGCTTGCACAAATAATTACGTCATTAGGAAAATCTCCCTTCGGAATAGTTTTCCGTTTAAAAATGATCATCGGCTTTAGCTTGTCACCGTTTGCGGCACAAGCAAACGCACATGTAAATGACGTTCTTTCATGCCCCGTCGTAAGCACAGATACAGTTTTTGCACCAGTTTCATCAACAGTTCTGTTTGCAGGAGAGTCGAAAGCTAACGGCATTTCATCCATATTTATTATCTGTGACCGAAGAAGTTTTCTTTTGTCAATAATATCTGTCACATATTTTAGAAAAGATGCCTTTTTATCCCGCCAGTCCATTGGTAATTGTTGCCCAACTGTTGTTCTAGTACGCACATAAATATTTTTTCTTCTCATAAATCTGCTACACCAGCAAGGCCCTCCTTTGAATTCATTTATGTTCATTTGCTTTGCTACAAATTTTGCTTGTAAGCGAATTTTTACAGTCAAAATTGCCATTCCTTTATTTCCTTGCTCCTTTATCCAGTTTGCAAGGTCGTCCTCTAGATTCAGCCACCTTACAGTACCACTTCTTTTGGCTCGTTTCTGTTGTGGCATATTTTCAAGTTCTTCTTTTTCAGTTCTCCAACGTCGAATACATCTCTCGTCCACTTCAAACTCTCGAGCTGCTGCTCTATTTCCAATTTGTTCAGCACGTGAAATTACATTAAGCTTACAACCAGCAGTATAGCTTCTGTGCCGTTTAGGTGCCATTTTAAAAAATTTCCGTTCTTAAAAACTATCCAACAAGTACTTGTACTTAAAAGTAAGTTAAAAACTGTCCAACAAGTTAAAAAAAAACTATCCAACAAGTACTTGTACCCAAACTGATGGGATCTGTATCTGGCAGAATGCCAAGAAAAATCGATTCATGCTGAACTGGAAATACGTCAGAGTTTTTTATTGCGAGGCAGGTGGAGTCGTGTCCGCTTTTGAAAAAAATTGCAGAAAAGGCAAGGGTGAGAGAGGATGGTTTTTGGAAGATTCATCGAATGGCAGAGGAGAGAGACTATTCAAAATGATGAGAATGCTGATTTCAAAGGGGGAAGAATGTTATTGTTCTGAGATCCCGTTTAGGGTGAATAAGGCATGTAGGTCCATTCAAGGGAAAGAATGTAAACAAAATAACGTTCGCAAAAAGCAACTGAGTGGTCTTTTGTGTTGGAACAACTGAGTGGTCTATGTACAATGACAACGCCATTCAAACTATGTACAATGACAAAGTTATTCAAACTATGCACAATGACCATCAAAGGAAATATATTATTTTTAGTGCCACACCCGCTGAAAATTAAAGTTTTAAACATGTAAACGCCGCGGCGTTTTCCCGGAAATTACGGTAGATAATTTTAACTTAACTTCTACCATCCGTTATACATTAAACGCGCATGCGTAAACGTATTATGCGCATGTGCACACGCATATTCACAGCCGTAAAGGTCTTACGCGCATGTGTCAACGCGATGCATGCGCGTAACTTTCTGCGCATGCGCCGCAGAAAGTTTGTAGCTTTGAGGTCCGGTTTATAGATCATTCCGGATTATGGGTGTCCGAATTAACGACTTTTGACTGTAAAATCAAATATCTCATGTCTTACTGCTGTTGCCAATAATGCTATGAAGTAAACAGTATGACCTTTTCTTCACAAATTTCTTATATATATATATATAATAATTGTTTTCAGACTTTTCTTATGCTGTTACTAAAAAAATGACCCTATTTCATGCTCTTTAGTCTGTCAAATAGCTTGTTGACAGTGAAAATTACTTTTTTCTCTTTCTGCTTTTCTTCCTCATTCCGACACGACAATTAGCCAGAAATTAATTAATTTTCATTCACTAGTTAGTATATTCAAAATTTTAATTCACATAAGAACTCTGCAAAACAAACGTCCCTCAAACATTCCTAGTCCCTCCCACGTCCCAAAAATAGCTTCTCAAAAGTTTCACCCTCTGTAATAATTCAAAGTATCCCTACTGCCGATAACGGAATTTCGGACACCCCCCTTCTGATAAGACACAGACACACTTTCCCGACATCCCACAAAAAGAACTTAAGTTAATCCATTTTCTGGCCTTTATATCTTCATGTACACTGCAAGGGGGAATTATATATATATAAAAAGGGGGGCAGTTCTATATTTCCCATTCTACTGGGCCGATTGACGAAATTCAAATTCCGTTCTTCAAGTCTCGAAAGTGTGACTTAAGATATATATTACATTTATATATAGCTCTCTCTATTCTAACACAGTTATTTTGACACAAAATCAGACTTTTTCTGAAATAAATACCAATTTTTTTTACATATTATGATTCTACGACTGAAATTATGCCTAAGTATGAAATTTTGTAAAATTTAGTGCAAAATTTACGGAGAAATTCATAAATTTCTGTTGCCGCTTTTTTCAGTTGCACAAAGAATAATTCACTTGGTGAACTTCTTAATATATGGCAACCTATTTTCCTTTCCCGTAAGCGGAAAAAAAGTCACTATCGTTCCTTTTTTCAAATAATGTTCTTTATATTATGTTTTAAATTATAATTGTTATTATTTTAAGTAATTTTTTCTTTTTCGAATTCCATTTTAATTGTTTAAATTGCATTTTTTCTTTGAAATAACTGTTTTAAAATTTTTTATTTACCCATTTGAACTGCGTAGTTTAAATAAAAGGTGCATCAATTATTATTTTTTTCCATATAGTTTTCTTTATAACTTTTTTTGGAGGTCATAGTTATTTTAGGTAATTTTTAAATTTATTTAAAATTTTTGTGTTACACTGTCTTTTCAGATAATTGTTTTAAAATTTCCTAATTATTCATTC